AACTTTATGGACACTGAAATTTGGATTTCACACATAACAAAATTTTTAAAAACAATATTTTATTTATTTATTTTTTGTATTTTGGGGAAGGGTCTTCAGGGTGTACAGAGTCTCACTACTAGATGGGACTCGTAGTGATCCGCCTGTTTACAGCCTCTCAAAAGCTGGGATTACAGGCACGCCACATGTAACAAAATTTTGTTTTGTCATTTTGGCAGAGAAAGCAGGTATGGTGATGCAAAATTGTAATCCCAGCACTTGGGGGGCTGAAGCAGGACCATCTCTTCAAGTTCAAGGCCAGCCTGGGCTGCATAGTGAGTTTAAGGCCAATCTGAACTATAAAGTGAGACACTGCCTCAAAAACAAATTAGTCTTTTAAAATTTATTTTCAACCATTTAAAAATGTAAATTCTTATTATTCACAATAGCCTCAATGGTCATCAATGTGTTGTGCATACATAATAGGATATTATTCAGCCTTTAACATCAAGTACATTATGTGAAACGAAATAAGCCGGTCACAAAAAGAAGTAAATACTGTAATAATTCCACTTAAGTGGGGTATCTCATTCATAGAAACAAAAGTAGACTGAGGTTGCCAGGAGCTGGCTAGAAGAGGGGAGTAAGACAAATCCTTCCTGGAAATCAATTTCACTATAAAATGAATAAACTTAACTTAATGATGCACTTGAAAATAGTCAACATGGCAAATGTTATTTTCTAAAACTATAGTTAAAAAATAAACTCTTCATTGTAAAACCATATAGAAAGGGGTTATTGTTGTGCCAACTTGTGGCCCACGGGTGGCCAATCTGAGGGCCAGAAGGGTAGTCCAAGTCTGGACTTCTCAAATACCCCGCAGGAAGTACCCTCACAATACACAGGCAGGAATGCCAATTTCCAGAGGAGTTGCCCTGCAAGTCTTTAAAATTTTTTTAAATGCTCTTTAAATAAAATTCACAAACATTTTTTAAAATCCCAGTCCATGATACATGTTGTGTTAAATGGAAAATTGGCATTCACTGTAAAAATCAGTAAAAAACTAATGCTTGCTCAAGCTCAGCAAGGATAAATAATTCAGTCAAGGCCACAGAGCTCGGATAAGGCAGGTGCGGGCTGGATCTCAACATGCCTGATCTGAAGCCTGAACCCTTACCTGGCCCAGGTATTGACACAGTCGTCCAAGTCACCATGGTAAAACTACTTTCAAGTTCCTACCCAGAGACGTCAATTTGTACAATTCAAATATAAATTTTTTGTTGTAGAATATTTTTGCTTTATTCTAAAACCCATTTGCTTCTTTAACTATGCTTTCTCATTTATCTGTAATTTTCAGTGATCAGGCAGTGGATCATATTACTGAAAGCGTTTGTTCAGAATTCTCTGCTCCCTGCCTGCCCCGTCCTACCATCCTACCGTCGTCCTACCGACTGGAGACTTGGCCTTAGTGCCTGGCTCTCCCAGAGCAGTGTGAGCAGGAGCGGGACTGTGCTGGGCCTCAGAAGAGGTGTTAATGGGCATCCCGGGTTATTAGGCCCACTTTCCCCTCTTAAGCTCTTTATCCACCTGGAGAACCACAGGTCTCCAGCAGAGTCTGTTCCTCTAGCCTGGGGCCCAGAATGAGAAGATGTGGGAAGCAAGCAGACACACACTCAGCCTGCAGACCTCGGCCAAGGCCAGCCTAGCTAGACAGATGCCTGTGTGCTGCTGTCAAGGAAGTGCAAGACCAAAAAGTGCAAGACTAAAAAGTGCAAGACCAAAAAGTGCAAGACCAAAAAGTACAAGACCAACAAGAAGCCTTTATCTGAAAAACAAAAAGTTTGCAAACAGGGAGGCGCAGCCTTTGACACAAAATGAAAGTGTGCTCTGAAGGAACAAAGACAGGGCTCAGTTGACACAGAAGTATTTATTTCCCACCCATCAGTAACCCCCTCTGCTAATGCAAATGCTCTGGAGATGCATGCGTGCCCCTTCCTGATTGGCTGATATTTAAGATGACTTGGGTCATAGTTCATTGGGCAAGGCTGGGGAGCGAAATGAGGCTTGCCTCAGCAGCTGGAGTAAGAATATGCAAAGGTCTGAAAGCTCAGCTTGTGGTGCCTGCGCATATTAGTCAACACTCCTCTGCTGGAATAAAATACCTGATGCACACAATTTAAAGGCAAAGATTATTTTTGCTCATGGTTCCAGCATTCAAGGCATACAGGAAGCAGAGAGCCAGGCAAGAGCCAGAGGAAATTTCTACTTGCAAAGGCCCAGCCTCAGTGACATACCCACTCCACCAGGGCCCACACTCTTACAGCACTCGCAACACGGACGGGTCCACAGAGGCAGGCAAAGCCCTCCAGATCCAGTGGCCTTCTCCCAGCCCCCTCACTAAACATGAGCACTTCCCCAAGCATATTTTTGGTCCAAACCATAACACTTCAGGAAGAAAGGACATATGTGGCAACCCCACCCCAGTAGCCAAGGACTACCAGACTTCATTGTGAAGTTCAGCCCAATTAGCCACCTGGAACAACTTCCTGGAGGTTGAGCTTTCCTAAAGTTCCCTTCTTTAGGAATCAGGGGGCAGACTTTCTTTAGGAGATCCAGCACTCTTCCGTTCTTCATCTTCGGGTTCAGCTGAGCTGACTCTTCACACCCTTGAGACATCACACTGACCAACTTGAGCAGTTCTCACTTCTCAGACTCAGACTTTGCGCTGTGCCTCTGGGGAGCTGCAAGTGGTTCCCATCAAAGCTGAGCTAGTTTTCTCTCAGCTAACAGAACAGTTCCACCTTCAACTGTTACCTGTTGGAAAGCGCTCCTGAAGAAACCTCACGCACAACCCTCACAATCCTGATTCCCGACTATTTACAACAGAGTGTACAACCAGGAGGGCGGGTCATGCCACACAAGGTGCCCCACCTCTCGGCTGCTGTTTAGACAGCAAGAAGGAAATCATGGCAAACAAAGTTTTATTTTTAAAATGCAAAGAACAGAAGCCACAGACACCTGAAAACACACATGATTCCCTGGGCTTTGAGGAAGATAAGAGTCAGCTCTGAATTATACATTCAGATGAAGAGATGGGGGGGGGGTGGGTAGACGCTCCAAGCACTAGAGAAATCCAGCAGAAGGCACAGAGATTCCCCATGTATCCACTGCCCCCACCCACAGATAGCCTCCTCAGAGGGTTCCATTAATAATGTCTCCTCCTCAGTGGTATATATCTTAGAAAAGATGACCCTACCTTGACTTGGGACCGCAGAAGCCCACCATTTACCTTAGGTTCCCTCCTGATACGTACTCTGAGGTTGTGACAAGGGTGTGATGACAAGTTTCCACATGATAGAGGCACTCGGGGTAGTTTCACCATCCTGTAACTCCAGCACACATCTATCTGTTTCTCTCTACCACAAGACCTGCTATCTACCCATCCTTCGACTGTCTCCATCGCTGTGCGTTTTCCAGTGTCGTACAGTGGGACTCATTCAGCAAGCAGTCTTCTCAGCCTGGTTTCTTCCAAGTAAACAGCTTCTAAAACAAAACAACATCAGTTCTTAAGTGTGTGTGTGTGTGTGTGTGTGTGTGTGTGTGTGTGTGTTTCTGAGCAGGATAGTAAGTTTACATTCTCTCAGTCCACAGACAGATGGATCATATAGGGACGCAGTGTGGGTTCTGTTGAGTGACAGCAGAAGCTGACTTGGGATTTAAAACAATAGTCCCTAAAGTGGAAAATTAGCTATGGAAAATCAAAGGTTGATAAACAACCATCTTTCCCATAACTTTTCCTACTTCAGTCCCCTACCTGAACCCCACCCCCAGGCTCCATTTCTTTTCATCCTTCTCAGAGGTGCTCAGACACTGTCCAAGTGGATTATCCCTAACAGGGAAAAGAAATGTGGGACCTAGCAGTGAAGTACTCTGATAGGCTGGGGAAGAAGTACTCACTTCAGTAAAATATAATCCCCGCCCTTTAGAAGTTCGGAGGTAATAGTAGTGAGTGATTTGTAAACAATCTTTCAGAGAGATTGCAAAGATAGAACAAGGCAAGTGGAGGAAATATTAGAATACGCGTTTTGAAAGGACTCAAGCCCTTCCCTCAGAATCTGGCTTAATCGGTCTGGGTCGAGAATGTTGGAGAGTGTTCAAGGCGCTCTGCAGGTGATGCTAATGCCAGCCAGGGTAAAGAAACATCCCAGACAGACAGGGAAAGGGACTGGGTGAGGGAAAGGGACTTGAGCTGCACGCTCAAGTTTGAAAGCCCTGGTCTGTAGCACAGACTGGAAGGCTCTGGAAGGCTTGCAGTTGGAGCACCGGGCTGAGGGTGAGGGGCTCTTCAGTGGGCACCCTTGTCCCTTGTCGCAGACCCAGATGGGCAGAAGCTTTTGGGCTGTTGCTCACTGTCTTGCCCCTGACCACCTAAGTACAACAAGGGCTGGGCCTGTGTTAGGCCCCAGATCTTGACCAGAAAGGTCCCTTACTAAGAATCCCAGTTTGCCCCTTGTGGCTCCTCACCCTTCACCCTGAAGTGGGGCCCCCACTCGTAAGTTGCCCCATCACACTCCCTATCCCTGGACAGGACCTGTGTCCAGCCCCTTCCCCAGACAGAAACTGCATGCTCTTCTGCACATCCAACCTCTTCTCATCCCAGTTACGCCTGACCATAAACAGAGCAGCCCCTTTCTCTGAGCACCCAATGCTGAACCCCACTGCTAGGCTCCTCTGCTCCCCGCCTCCCCCCTTCCAGCTGACAGAAAACAGCAAGTCAAGCAGCCTCGTTTCCACTTCTGGGGCTCCCCTCCTTCACGGGCCATCTCAGCTGCAGGGCTCGACCCCACCGCGGTGCCCAGCGCGGAGACCCCAAAGGGGAGGGGGGTCGGGATCCCCGGCCCAGCGGCAGCGTGGGGTCTGGGGCGCATCCCGGGAAGCTTCCCGGCGGGGAGGGGCCGTGGCCGCCAGCCAGGCGTCGCCGTGGGTCCCGAGGCTCCTCCCCTGGGGTGGCCGAGCAGGAAGCGGGGCGCGGCGCGGGGCGCAGGGCGCGGGGGACGCGCGGGCTCGGCGGGCGCACAGCCGCGGCCCGGGCGCGCGGCGCGGGGCGGAAAAGCCTGTTTACACAGCCTGCACACCGCCCGGGGAATAATGCAGTAAAGGAAGTGAGCCGGCTCGGCCTGACTGCTCCAACTTCCTGCTCTCACACACACCAGAGGGGGAAAGAGAAAAAAAAGAGGAGCGAGAGAAAGAAAAAAAGGGGGGGATCAGGATCTCATTACAGGAGCAACAGACCGTCTGCAGACGCCTGTCAGCATGGAAAGCCGGGGGCTTTCGCCCGGGTCCTCCTAGAAATTCCCCCGGAGAAGAACTGAGCGCTCCCCCACATCTGGGTAGGTCGCCGGCGTCTGCCTGTTGCTGGGACGCTTGCAAAGTTTCGTGTGCAGTGTTTTTTTTTTTTTTTTTTTCCTTCTTCTTTCTTTCTTTTGGGTGGCTCGGTGGGGGCGGGGCGGTGGGCGCGGGAGTGCGGGGTGCAAGGGTGCGTCCGCGCGGGAGGGGACGCGGGATGCGGCCACCACCTTCACCGTCACCGGGGTCACTGCCGTTCACGCCGGGCCGGGACTGCGCCGCGAGCCCAGGGCAGGGGTCCCCGCCGCGGGCGGAGCCGGGGTCGGTGCGGCGTGGGTCGCGGGACGCGGGGACCGGGAGGCAAGCCGGCTGCGCACCTGGAGACGACACCGCGCTGACTTCAGGGGGCGACGGCCGGTTTCCCCCAGCCTGGGCAGGGGGCGCCGGCGCTGGGGTCCAGAGAAGGAGGCGCAGATGCAGCGGCAGGCTGAGGGCGCCGGCGGCAAGGGCGCGGGGGCAGGGGGCTGCGTCCACCCCGCAGGGCAGGTGACCCTAGCCCTGTTACCGCCCCGGGCGCACGCCCAGTCCCTCCGCCTCTCCAGGTCGGTGTTGGACCAGGTCTGGGGGAAGGACCAGGCTGGAGAAGCCCATCGGGCTCCTGCCCCTTTAATTCAGGCTGGATTCTGGCCTGCGGTGCTACTGTAACTTTTCTTGGGGAGGGGGTTGGTTCATGTTTGGGGACATGAAAAGGAAAAATAAAGGGCTCTAGGTTTTGTTCTGTTTTTTGAACCAGATCATCCGGGGGACAAGCCGTTGTTAGGCGGCGGGTGGGGGTGGGAGCAAGAAATGCCATTTCAAAAAGTGCAAAAGGGGCTTTTTAGAAAAAAAAAAAAGAAAAAAAAAAAAAAAAACGAGTGTCGGGAGAGTTTCTGGCTTGTCTGGAAACGGCAAGACTAATTGCCATGCGCTTCCGCTTTGAAACTGGCAGCAGACAGCATCTTGAAAATGACTCACTAGACGAGCTCACAAAGAAACTGTGGTTTGCTCCTTCCCAGGTTTATGTATTTGTGCCTTTTACAGTTTCCTTTGTAGTGTTCGAGGGTCCCCCGCCCCTTCCCCGCCAGCCCACTTCTGTCCCCCCTGCCTTGAAAGCGCCTGGCGAGTCTCTAACTCCCCCCAGACCCTCAGCCCCGGGTCGGGGGCAGAGCGGAGGGGGAGGCCGAGTTGTTTTTGGAGTTGGCTGGGGAGAGGGTTAAAGGCATTCTGCTGCTGCAGGGGGAAAAAGTTCCCTGAATTTTCCACTGGCCGCTGCAGGAAGAGAGAGCCCCTTTAGTCATTGCTAAGTAATGTCTGCACACACACCAACTAATCTCATTAGGAGTTTCCGCTGCTCCGCACAGGAGGGGTTTTGTGCAGCCGCTGTCAGCCAGGGGAGCCCAGCGCTGGAGAGGGAGACAAGTTACTGCTTTATTTACTTCGAGGTGCCTTTTCCGCCCCCACGAGCCTTTCTGGGGCAGCGTCTCAGAAACTTTCAAGTCACTTTGGCCATTTTGGATTTGAGGCTTACAGGTTTTTCTTTCTTTGTGTGTGTGTGTGTGTGTGTGTGTGTGTGTGTGTGTGTGTGGTTTCTGTCGCCCAGGCAGCTCGCACACACCCATCCTCTCATCTGTGCTTTGTCTTTGTATTTTTCTCTTAGTGGTGGGTGGGGGTGGGGGGTGTCTGAGAAATCTAACGTGTTCCGGGCATCTATTAAGGAGCCTACATTGATTTCTGAGCCTTATTGCTCAACAAAATACCCTCTGATCCCTCTCCTTTTCTCTCGCACCGTGGCACACATTTATTTGGAAAAGGTCAGTTATGAGTTTGAATTTATGAGGATTATAAAATCACAAATTGTGTTAGGAGGGCACAGGGTCATGCAGTTAAGGAGACTGTCCATAAGTGTTCTTAGGGTTTCCAGTAATGATCCTGCTCACAAAACCCCCTGCATAGGAAAAGATGGCCTTTCTGTGCCAAATATAGTACAGGCCTCTGGTGTTTTTTTTTTTTTTTTGTTTTTTTAAAGCCTTTAAATATTGCCTAGAAATGTCTAGAGTTGCTAAAAAGGGCAGAGTTGTAAAGAGCCCTATTGGTACTAAGAGGTCCCTTGATCAGCAAGGGCAGGTTGCCTCTTTTGGAGGTGCTCGCATTTCTTGTACAGTGGCAAAGCGCGCCCCCAAACAGCCCAGCCAAGCCTGCCCAGGAGTGAGTCAGTGGCCAGGACTGCGGTGTCTCTTGCCCCAAGCCTGGCACAGAGTAGATGCTCAGCAAATCATTGTATCCAGGCTGTGATTAGGCTAATAAAATGCTGAATAGATGAGAAAAAGCTTTCATGGGTGGGAGTCATTCTGTCAGGGTTTTCTGAGAATAGAGGTTGTCCATTTCCTTTGAATAAAAAGGAGTTAGTTAGAGCTGCTTATTCCAACAAGTTGTTATTTGGGAAGCAAGAGGATCGCTTATACCTGTGCTTCTTCAGGAGTAATTTGACCTACCAGTAGACATTTTGAGTTGTCACACTAGAGGGGGAGCTAGTGGCGTCTAGTGGGCAAAGGCCAGGGATGTTGCTAATATCCGACAACTCCCAGACAAGGTCCCTGTGAAGAATTTCTCTGCCCTGCACATCTGTAGTGCCCAGACTGGGAAGCTCCTGTTTACCCTGAGCGTGGTGACAGCGACTCTTCCACAACCAACAGGGCAACAGCGACTCTTAACTCAACCAACAGGGCAACCTCGAAGCCCTCAGTTGCTGTTTTGGGGATGCCTTGTGTGTAATGTACTTTTTATGCATATTCCATGTTCTCTGTGGTTGGCAGTGTGCAGTAGAATGACATGCAAACGCTGGCCCCGGGTTGGTGGCCCTGAACCATCTCGAACTCCATCATGACAGCGTCTTCATGCCCTTAGTGCTGATGCCTTCTAGGTCCAAAGAACAGCAGCCCAGGTCGGGGAGAGCAGTGTGCTTTCAGCTGCATCTGAATTTTGAAGTGACCTGACCATTTATTAAAGACCTTCTTTTTTCTTATTTAAGAAATTGAATCATTCCAAACTGCTAACCTGCAGTAAATGTGAGTCTGAGATCATATTCAAATGTGCATTGGTGATAACTTTGGGGAAGTTGAATCTTTCCTGAAATTGCTTTTAAAGGACTGCCAGGCAGGGTATATAAATTATAATCTTCTTTCTCAACTGTTGGATATTCGACTTTGTGTGTTCTGTGCTATCCAGTTACCTTTATGTATCTTTTCGATTCAGATCATCAATATGGTGCTGTAAGGGTTACCAAACATAGCCTGGTGGCGAACCCAAAGGCTTCCTGGTGTTGTCTTTTTTATTTTTATTTTTTTTAAGGAGAGTGAATTAGTAACAGTTACCGACCAATGTGTTTGCCCCTTGCAGGTCTGGAGGATGATGTGGTAATCTCCATGTTTCCTAGACCTGGGGATTCCTTAGTACCTTTTAAGAGCAATAGGCGCTCTGCTCATGTCAACTTTGCCTTCCTGACCCCTTCCGAAGGCCCTGCCTTCACCACAGCCTGAGTGGCCTGGGAATCTGCATGGAAGATGCCATGCTTTGCAAGTTTTCGTGTATGTTCCAGGCAAATTTTTCATGGCATAGTTGTCTCTAATTCCTCTTTCCTTTGCAGATTTATTATAGCATAATAGCCTAAAGATATTTTTCTAAAGGTTAGTTGTTTTTACCTGTGGTGAAAAATATTAACACAGATTGCCTTAGGAAAATACCAAATGACAGCAATGAAAAAAAAAACCTCCCATAATCCTACTGTTGACATCCTGATGTATATTTTTGCAGTTTTTTAAAATGCAGATGTGTGTATACATTCACATAGGAACACGCACACACATAAAATTTTATTTGGAATCACACTGTACTTTCTGTTTTGTAACATTTTCACTGAACATATCATGTAACACATTTTAACAAGGAATGCTGAGGCCTAAGTTACCACACATAGAGCTTGTATTTATTGATCTCATAAACATGTTGACTCAGTGGTGGATTGACAGAACTTCTATGCCGACTTGCTTGGTGTTTTTGTCCTCTGTGGTTCAAGTAATGCTCCAAGAATGCTGCCTCTCAAGACTGAGTTCCTACGTGCTGTGAAGTTTGGGATTTTGACGAGTTTCTCGATGATTTAAGAATGAGTCATGATTTGCAGTAGAATATCAAGATGTAGTAACAGGAAGTGTAGGGTTCTACACATCAAAATAGAATGTTAAATGGTTAAAGAAGAGAAACCAGGTTAAACCAAGACTACACCTTGGCATGGCCATTCTGTGAAGGGAGCCGAAGGTGTGTTTTGTGCTCTTAGAGAGTTCTTATTTATTACTGTTTCATTTTATATCAGTACACCTTCCAAATTTTGAAATTAGTGTTTTAAATTGATTTCTAGCTGGAGATTGCTATTGCCCATGGCCACTCTGAGTTGAGGTCAGTTAACATCTTGATTAGACCTTGAAAACTCTGGTTTTGCTACTTATAATGCAGCCCTAGTAAATTGAATTATCTGTATGTGTGCCTGTGTTTCTGTGTTTAACCCTCCACTAATAAATCCTAGAAGCCTTTAAAAATAGTAGATTATTCAGTCTTCTATGAAACTATCCTTTGCAGAAATTTGTTTCCTTCATGGAGACAAAAGACTATTTTTCTTTTGTCAATCGAAGGAGAAATAGTCTTTCATTTATTATTAGAAGGAGAAATAGTCTTTCATTTATTACAGATGAACAGTTTTCAAATAAATTTTGATGTGGTCGTTTTGGTAAACTGTGATGTAGTTTTAATTGCCACAGGAATGAATGTTATGGCTACTTCATTGACACATTGATTTAAATTTCCTGGAAAGTAATTACTAAATTATTTAAGAGTTAAATAGAATTATTTTATAGCTTGGCTGAGAGATTTGTTTGTATATTCTTAAATTAAAATGATGAATGTGTCAGCATATTCTAATTTAAATTGGGGTAAAGTGAATGTATTCATGTAATAA